GGATGAACAGCGAACTGATGGAAAGACCATTCATCGAATGAACAGTGAACTGATGGAAAGACCATTCTCATCGATACTCTGGACTGACAAATACTTAGAAGATTTACTAAGTATTCATCCAAGCATGCAATGAAGATTTAAAGATAAGGATGAAATCATCACATCGATAATGACAGCTGGAGATGACAAATCAACAGCTGGAATTATAGTTTATCTTGTTTATAATGCTTATCCATGTAAAAGATAAACTTTATCTATTAGCTAGACTATTTGCTATAAAATAGCAATAGTTAGTTATCTTAACTTTAGCTAACTAATATAAATAGACGACTAGGTCTATTGTAAAAAGCGTGAATGTGAGAGAGAAAAATAGAGAATTCATTGTAAACACATAGATTCAATCACATGAGAGTYGATTAGGGTTCTTGAGAGTTTGTAATTTMCAATTCAATAAAGAAAGCGTCGTCGATTTCTATTCATCTTCTTCTACAAATCTCTCTTGAATTTCCTTRTTAAATTGTTCTACTGTCAGATCTGGGTTAACAACTTTAAATCATGTATTTCTTTATAATAAATGTAGGTTTCATCTTTAGCATATTGAATCTGGTTAATTTCATCTTCTGCTTTGGAAAAAGCACACGATTCATTGCTAGCCTCATAACATGATTTTGTGTTGATGTCATTAGTATGACATGTGCCATTGTTGCTTTGCACTTCAAACAAAACAATAAATCAGTTTTAGTTTACAACCTTAAATATCAAATAAGGACACGCAGAGTCTGTTTTTTTTTATTCATTTATTCAAATCAATCAGCTTTCCTTGTATTTACACTAGTCTTTTCTTTGAGTCATAATTCTTTGTTCTTCTCTTGGTGATTCCATTCTTAGTTATGGTTTGTTGGCTTTTCAATTAGGAAAGACAATTCATGCTTGCATAGTTGTTAGTGGGGTTAAGTTTGATCCAGTCTTGGGAAGTTCAATTGTATGCCAAAGCGATTGTTATTGGTCTTGAATCTGATAAAGTTGTTTATACTGCCCTTGTGGACTTCTATTGTAAATGTGGATTAATTGATGATGGTCAAAAACTCTTTGACGACATGATACAATCTGATGAAGCTTCTTGGAATTCCATGTTGATGGGTTACGCTACAAATGGTTATGGCATTGAAGCATTGCATTTATTCAGTGATATGAGAAAAGTAGGTGTCATGCCAACAGATATTACATTTACAGTAGTTTTATCTGCATGCAATCATTGTGGTATAGTTGAAGAGGATTTGAAGATGCGATACCCTCACCTTTTCTCATGAACTAAAATTTCGAGGACGAAATTTAATCCAAGGTGGGAAGGATTGTAACACTCGAGATTTTCTCAAAATATTCGTTCCGTGCGCAACAAGGGTTTCGTCTCGTTAGTAAGATAATGCATTTTCTTTTATCTATTTAAAGCTTAAGACACCTTAATATGTCTTTTAGATCATTCTTTGAAATAAATGTATATTTATATATATATATATATAAAGAGAGAGAGAGAGAGAGAGAGAGGAGCG